TGTCTCCCTGCCCTTAATTTTGGGAGTGTGCTGTGGTTCCTTTAATGTCCAGGACAACCTTGCTCGAGCGCACAGATTTGTACATTTAGTGTTGCTGAGTCCTTGTCCGTGCGTGGTGGTGGCGCGTCAAAAGCTTTAAAGAGATTTGCGGTCTGCCGACCTTGTCAGGAGGGATGTATTTGGTAAATCCTTCCGTTGCCAGCTCGTATGCAATGCTGTTGATGCAACAAAGTTTATTTTAGTTGAATACTTTGGCGCGGAAGAGTATTCAAAGAAAAAATTGCACTGGCAGGACTTTAACTTCCTATTCGTTGTTTATATATTATTTTGCATTATTTTTGAACAAATTTGTAAAACTTTCTTAAGATTTCCCGCCCACTTTTTGATTGGTTTGGAACAGAAAGCTTAGAAAATTCTTTTTAATAAAAAGGACATATTGTATGTTTAGATTAAAAAGAAAAGCGTGCGTATCGGTAACTGAATACCAAATGAGAAAGAAATAAGAATAATAATTTTCTTGGCTTCAATGACTAAAAGCCAAAAACTGCTACTACCTTAAGCAAAAACTGTTGCGTGCTTGAATACATATTTCAAGCAAGCATTTAAATAACAAATTATTCCATACCTGTGGAAATTCTTATCCTTTGTTATCAAAGTCGCGATTAAAAGAGCTATTATAAAATATTTGAAACAAGTTTACTTTGGGTGCTCATAAAAAACGGTTAAATATTTCACTCGCTGTGTGTTGATAATAAAGCATCACAGTCCCATCGTAAAAGGAATCACCAACAACTTTGAAGAAAATTGCACATTCAAGTTTGCATTAATTTAAATTTAGCAAAGAAATGGGAGGAAAATTGTACAGTGGTTCAAATCAAACATAAATTGTAGATCAACTCGAACACTATCTTTTCATTGAGTTTTGAGCAATTAATAATTTGGTTTCGAAAAGCTAAGTTTAGTTTTTTGTGTACGAGCAGTTTTAGACTCGAAATTACATTTAAATATAAATCTTGATTACTACAATTAGTCGAAAAATAAACATTTTTGAGTTTGATCAATCTATGGTAGTTACAACATTACTATTTTTTTTTAAGCCGAGTGTAATCCAGCTCAAACATCTGTGTTATTTTTGTTTTATTAAAATGTCCCATTGTTCCTATACTACAATTTTATTTACGAATCTCGTCTTAAAATTAAAACTAAATGAACTTTTTTTTAGATAGATTTAACTGAGCTTATTTCAACCCATCACCCTACTAAGTCACACATAATACAAAATCCTAATGCCAATGTTCTTCCATTTTAATTTGCTGATTGTCCATTAGGACAGATTAAAAAAAATAATTATTAAATTACTAATAAAGAACAATAACAAGCAGACAATTATTAATTGTATTAAGGTAGAAAAACAAAAAAAAAAGAAACAATTTGACGTACAAAAGTATGCTACAGTTTTCCACTCGAAGGGAAATCAATTCTTCACATACAAGTTTTCGAATCAGAATAACTGACTTAGGATGGTTAATACCAAAGTTTCAGATTTATATTATTTTCAACTTTACCCATAGACTTCAATATCTATTTTACTTCGTTTTTGACAAAACGTTGCCAGCTTATTTCAATTTAAATGAAGCATCAAGAATGAAGATATTGATTTATTTTAAAGCAATTTGCTGGGATAAGGTCAAAACTACTTATTAATATCACTCGAAATGGTTTCCATTCACTTAATATTTGCAATTGGAATAAAATTTTTTTAAATTAACTTTAAACAAAAGTTTAAAGTAATTCTTTCTCTGCCTTAATTCAAAATTTATATATCTCTATATATATAAAACAGTTTGTCCTGACTGACTGACTGATGTGCAATCAACGCACAGCCCAAACGGTAAGGGGAAGCTGGGAAGCTGAAATTTGGACGCAAGTGAGCACTAAGAAAATTCGAACTCCAATGTGGGGAAAACGAGCTCCAAAGATTCTATGAAATATCTGCAATGCTCATTTGATTGGCTTCAAACTTAGCTTGTATTTATATATGCGGGTTATATTTAAATTAAGAATCTGCCTAAAGGCTGAAAGCATAGAAAAATAAAATATTGGAATCTGCAGTAGAGATAATCTTAAGCGTCTATTTCTTTAATCAAAGAATTTCCTCTGCTCCCACTTTGTTTATGCTCCTCCTCTAAATATGTCTTTGTGTAGCAAAGTGATGTTTCTAACCACTGTGCAATGACCAGCCACCATTAAGCAGCCAATGGTTGGCCGCACAGTCTGAACCTCAAACTGAAATTGCTGAGCAGCAAAGCTCTGCCACAGCGTTTTGTTGCGTTCTATTACTTTTTTTCGTGCTGCTGCTGCAGCGGAAGTGGAAGTGAAAGATATCCTTTGGATGCGTTGGGCTGCTTTTAATTGTCTCGCGCGTCTTTCGCCGCTCGAAGCTCGACGCTTGGCGCTTGGCCCATGGCTTGTGGAACGTGCCGCTTGTAGTGGGGGGCGTTGGCGACTTGAATGCGTTTTAATTACGTCTCTTCTTTTGCTCATTTTGCCGTACATTTTTCTATTGTGTATTTATGTAGCTGGTTGCTGTTGTTGTTGTTGCTACTGATGCTGATGCTGCTGCTGCCGCCACCGATGGTGCTTCTACAGCTGCTGTTGTTGTATTTATTATTTACTTGACTGCACTTTTGCAAAAATAAAATTTTACACAAACAGTGGCAGTAGCTTCGGCAACGTCGTCGCCACTTGGTAAGACAAATACTGGCGGCGTTATAATGAAAAATGGCGACGCAACTTTTGAAAAGTTGTTTGTCGTCTTTGTCGGTTGTTGCTATTGTTGTCTTTATTATTGTTGTTGTTTTTTAATGTTGTTGTTCTTTTTCTGCTTGCTGTTGCCGCTGTCAGTCGCAGCTGCTGAAATCCTTTGCTCCTTCACGTACTTCATAAATGCGCTCGAGTGCAAAAATAAGAACGAGAACAAGCGGCGCCTTCCACTTTGCAGCTTTTTCAAGTTTAATGCGTCGCCCGCCAATTGAATTTTTCAAAACTTGCTCACAGCCCCCTGGGCCCCCCATCAATTAACAATTGTTTTTGCTGTCGCTCTGTGGCGTTCAGTGCTGGCGGGGAATTAAAGTTTAAGTCGGCGCCAAAGTCACGCCGTGCCGCACTCTCTCACACACACACACACAAACACACGAGTCCTTGCTTCCATGCTTCGCCGCTTCGTCCCTTCGGCCCATTATCCTCGTCGCCTGTTGCTTTTGGGTGTGCAGCAGGGCGCCAATTGCTCGGCAAATGCAATGAAAAGCGATTTGCACAACCAAAGGCTGAATGTGCAGTACGAGGATGTGCAGAATGGGAGCGAGTTACAAAGGATTAGAGTTTGTTGTGACAAGCTGCAGGCGCTCCACTCCACAAAGCAATCGCAGTTAGCTATTCTCTTGCTGCCATCTAAGCGAGATGCCCCACCAGACCCACTAATGTAATAACAAACTGCCGAGCTTAGCAATTATTTGGCTAAAATGGCAAACAAAAGCAGAATCACGAAATACACAGATATTATCGGCACACTCCCTTTCGGGGATCATTTGACATGTTGTAACAATTTATGATTGGAATAATACTTGTTGCGGGATTCAAAACAAACAAATCCTGTTTATCTCCAAGTTCTATAAATAATTAGTTAGTTAACTATTGAATAGCTTTCTAGTTTATTGGTTATGTACATTTATTTTAATCTATTAAGGTTAGATTCTCTCAGGTAATGTACATTTTTACAGAACGGTCTAGGGTGTGATTTTTGAAAGCAACTCCAATCGGAACCACTTCTAAAGACTATGGAAAAATATTGAGTTTCGTAACGAAAAATGAAAACGGTATAAAACTAAGGCTAGAAACAACTATACAAGTAGTATGTACATACATTTATTTCATTTCATTTATTCACAAAAATCGGCCCATAAATTGGTGTGTATCTATAATTAATGTAGTTAATAATAAAGAGTACAGGTTATAAACCTTATCAACTTAATTATATATAAAGGGTGTTTTTACATTTTATGAGTGAACGGTCAGTTTCTAATATGTAACAGAAGCGGGGGAAAAATTGAATATTCATTTATGCTTTTACAATCATATTCCAAATGTTTGTAGCAACAGGTAGTATGGAAAATTAGCTCGAAATCGTATTGTCAAATGTTTTAGGATCAATTGGGCATAAAAGAGGTTATCACAGGTTAATCACTGGATTTATGTTACAAGCACAAATAAAATGGTAAATTAAATTAGAATGAGAAAGTAAATAATCTGAAATAATCTGTATAAATAAGGATCAGAATAGAAAAAAGGGAACCAACGAATTGAATTTTATTTGTCTCACTGTCTAACTTTAATATAAGTACGATCTATATCTGATATGCGAGTATATGCAAAGATCCCATTGCTGTCTAGCTAACTTGTTTATTAATCGTATAGCTTAGGAGAGCCAAGATTACACGCATTTTTCATTTAAAAAGGCTAAAAACAATTCAAGAATATTGTGGTCTCGACTACTGGGATCTATTCAAATAGTTAAAATGTGATTTAAAGATTTTAAAAAAGCACTGTTCTTATTAAGTACATGTAGTGAATTGGAATGTGAACAGAAGGCAGGATTCCTGCGGAGGTAAAAATCAGCCACATTGACCAAATTTATACTCCGATTTGGGAAATATCTGAATTTAAGGCTTACAAAGTGAAATTTTGTAATCCATTGATAATACGTATATGTAGAACATTTTTGCCGGACTAAGCCACATTCTGCATAAAAAATGTAACAGGCTTAAATGAATATTAATGGCATATTTAAGTCCGATTTTAATGTCTAGAGAAATATGAATTATTATTGAAGAATGTTTAATATGTAATGTGTCTTGGAGATTATATTAATTGTAAAATACTTTAGTAATACTAAATAACAAGATTAATTAATTTTTAAAAATAAACTTCTGTCTGATTTCCAGCAAATCTCATCGGCATCGACACCATCCACCATCAGACGTTGTCGGGCCAGGAAATGGATCAGTTGAATGAGCACCAACTGGACAAGGTGGCCAACAATGTGAGCGTTTTCTATCGAGTCTCGCCGCGGCACAAGCTCGAGATTGTGAAGTCGCTGCAGCGGACCGGCAACATTGTGGGAATGACGGGAGACGGCGTCAACGACGGAGTGGCCCTCAAGAAGGCGGACATAGGCATTGCCATGGGAAAGAATGGCACCGATGTGTGCAAGGAGGCGGCTGACATGATACTGGTTAATGACGATTTTCACACCATTATGTGAGTAGTTCTCTGATCAAAGTGTTGGAGACTTTTTAAGTTTTCCATCCATCTCTCCACAGCGCCGCCATTGAGGAGGGCAAGGGAATATTCTACAATATACGAAACTTTGTGCGTTTCCAGCTGAGCACCTCGATAGCTGCTCTGGCTCTGATTGCGCTGGCCACGCTAATGGACATTGCCAATCCGTTGAATGCCATGCAAATACTTTGGATAAATATCATAATGGATGGCCCACCGGCGCAGTCTCTGGGCGTCGAGCCCGTCGATCACGATGTCCTGAAGCAGAAGCCCCGCAATGTGAAGCAGCCGATGATTACGAAATCGGTGATTGCGAATGTGCTGCTGAGTGCCAGCATCATTGTGTTGGGCACTCTGTGGGTGTTCCAGCGCGAGATGGCCGATGGAACGCTGGGCAAGACGAAGCGCGACACCACCATGACCTTCACCTGCTTCGTCTTCTTCGACATGTTCAATGCGCTTTCGTGCCGCTCCCAGACCAAGAGCGTCTTCACCATTGGCCTGACCACAAATAGGATGTTCCTGCTAGCCGTTGCCTTCTCGATAATTGGACAAATGCTGGTCGTATATTTTCCGCCGCTACAAATGGTTTTCCAAACCGAAGCGCTGACTCCCTACGACATACTCTTTCTCGTCTCGCTCACCTCCTCGGTGCTGGTCGTGTCGGAGATCAAGAAGTGGTTCGAACGCACCATGGAGCGTAAAATGTACAGCACCCGGTCCGAGTTGGATTTTGTATGACAAAACGCAAGCGCTAGAGACCAGTTGCATACAAAAGCCGAGTAAATTAAATTAACAACAACAACAAAAAAAATTTCAGAAAAAACCTACAAAAAAAGAGCAAAACCATGCAGAAAAAAACTTGAAACCAAGTGGGGCAGTGTGGCAAGCGACGAGAGCGAGCGACGAAAGGCAGCGGCAGCGGCAGCGGCCAAATGTGTGTTTAATTTTACATTTTACTTTTTTGCAACAGGCGACACCAACAACAACAACAACAAAACTACAACAACCACCCCGCAGCAACAACATAGGTTAGCCAAAAAGAAAAAGTAATAGTTGAAACATTCCAATCGGCGGCGCATGAATTTGAAGCTAAAAACTTGACTTCATTTGAAAAGAAAACGAATTCAAAAAGTGAGCAGCAATATTTTATACGCTACTCTATTTGCCTCTCTTCTCTCTCTCGCTGAATGTCCTGTCCCGTTAGAGTTATAGTTTTATTTTATTTAAGCACGCATATATGCATATTTTATAATTTCTTTCAATTTAAATTTAAACAATTATGTATTTATTTTGTAAGTAGTCGAATGTTGAAAGCACCGCGCACTCCTCTCTTAGGATGAGGCCATCACCTGTCAATTGTTGTGCTTTCACTTAGCAATACTTTTCTTTTAATTTTAAAACATTGTCTTCGTTGCGTCCCTAAGTTATAAATTGTCATGAAAACCGCCCAGAATATATATCTCACATTGTCGCTTTCATGGCAAACATCAAGTGGAATCAAGTCAAATGTAATTTAAAGCGGAAAAAACAGAACATTTTTTAAGCAAATCCGGCTAATTTATTGGAAGCTTCTGCTCAGCGTTTCCATTTAACATTAAGTTATTAGTGCAGGTGACAAGATCGCATCAGCTATCGGTATCAGAGAAGCCTATTTAATACATCCCTAGAAACGATACTTTGGCAAAAATTTCCAATCTTAAAAGAGTTACTTTACAAGACATATTTATTCTGAATACACGACTCTACTTAGACTTAATCTTGTTTTAAAGTCCTAACCGTCGTCTCACATTTCCGTTCTTATAAGTATGATTCCATTTAGACTTCTAAAGCCCTAGCTGTTAAATATTACATTGAAAATGTGTAAATTGCTGCAGACGCACTTTATTTTAAGTTTCATATAAAAGTGTTTAATATTATTATTAACGAATGTCATAAAAGTAAAAACGATTTGATGTGATATTATTTTAAGCACATAGGCACACGAGCATAGTTTAAATCGATGGATTGATTGTAATCTAAAATCCATTTCCGTTTGCATGTTCTCTTAATTCAATTATATTTTGTTTGCCTTGTAGTTTTTAGTGCCAAATATATATTGATTTCATTAAATAAATACTGCAACTGTACAGAAACTCAACACACTACTCAACTCAATTTCGATTGGAGCTCCCAAAACTATAACTAATATATATACTAATGTATACATTTTCTTCCTTCCGAAACAGCACAGCAATCCCCGGCAAGGAGCAGCAAAACTAAAAATATTCGATTCCGTTAATCCCCTTTACAAAAAATGTAAAATGTAATCTACAGAAGTAGCAGAACAGAGCAGGCGATGCAAGAAAATGGTTTTTTTCAAAATAATTTTTGTTAATTTATTCGGTCTTTGGAACAAAACATGTGACAATTTTGCGAACAACATCGAGCAAAACTCTAGCGCGTTAGCAGCAATTAAATAATTTGTTAACAAACGAAAAACAAAACGATTGTGGAAAAAATAAAATTGTGTTTAAAAGTACAATATATTGAAAATAATTATATATTTATTCGCAATTTGAAATAACAATCACCGTTTCTCTCAATTCACCAAGCAAAAGAAAAAGCAGCACTAACTGTTTATAAGAATAAGTTGTAGAACCAAAGAAAAAATGGTATTCATAAAAAGCAACGGCACTTTCCAGATTTGGAACATTTTACAGGCTTAGTTGAAATGTGGCATGTTTTAATAAAATACAGAAAAGCAATAAACAAAACAATAATTTATCTCATGTAGCTGCGCAAAATGTTCTTAAGTGTGTTTAATGGCTTCTTAATAGTAACAAAAATGTACCAATTACAAACAATTGAACAACCGAATGTCACATTACAGACTCAAAACATATATATATTCTACGTTCCAAACTTATTGAAGCATTTAAAATAAAAGTATGGTATTTGACAAAGAAATTTGTTTAACCTTAAGGAACGCATTTACCAGAATATTTTCATCAATGTTGCCAATATTATTTTCATTATTATTTTGATGTATTGAAAACGATAACTAAAATAGGTTCAGAAATTTTTGAATGTCTATAAAGACATTTAAATAAGTAAATATTTATATTTTATAATTGACATAATGTCAAGCTCTGACAGCCCTCTTAAATGTATTTCCCACAACTCTTCAAGCTTCTTCATTAATCTAATTAACAATTCCTTTTGATTTAGGAAATTGTAAACATTGTAATAATCTGGTAAATGCATACACAAAAAAATATTTTGAAAAACATTTATAAACAATAATGAATTATTAAATATTCTGCCCCTGCAATAAGAACTTCAGATTGTTCATCGGTTAAATCAAACTAAAAATAGTCAATTAAGTATTTCAAGAAAAATAACAAAAGTGAATAACAATTTTGTAATCATTTGGAGGACAAAAGAAAATCGCTACACTTTCTAGTTACTAAACAAAAATGTTTACATTGTCAATAAAATATATAGCACTGCAAAATACAAAAACGTTTCTTATAAATGTTTCACAAATTTTCCACAATAGGAAACTATACTAAAGTTTTTATAGATATAAGCCCCATAACTTTTGTAGAAGTTATTGGAACAGCTCAGTAATATCGATATCATCTACATCAAAGTCATATCATTGCCGCTCAGAGACACACTCATTAATGCAATCAATTTGTTTTCAAAAATCAATTCGTATCGATACTCACTATAGATGTCTTGCAATCTTATATTGGCTGTACGTGTTATAAGAGAATCATTTCAAATTTCAATCACCTATTTAAAGCGTTAAAAACATTGAAAACGAATTCAAAAACACTATTTCAAAAACAAAAAACAAAAAAACACCAAAATGTTGCCCCGATTATAGACATTTTTGTACTTAAATAAGGAACCCTAAACTGTTTTAAAAAGGAAAATGCATATCACATTTAGAACTCAAAATTAGTCAGCGTTTTGAAATACAAAATTAAAGCATTGCCTTATTTTTCATGAACATTTGTAAAAGATTTGTATTTTTTCAAACCACTCTCACCACCTCACCACCTACATATTTATGGCCATCACCACAATTTCAAATGCAAGCGTATACTTCTAGCAAATTGTTTACCTAATGGACCAAGTAAAACAAATTATATTTAAACTAATTTTCAAATCGAAAATTATATAACTTACAAAAAGTACCCACACATCAAGATCAAGCTAAGCTCTCCTGAACACGCTCATATATCATGGTTTAAAAAAAAAAACGCACCAAAAAAAAAACAAAAAATGAAATCGAAAAAAAATGTAAAAATAAAAAGCTAAAAAATACACATATATCTATCTATCTTTACAAAGCATTAACAAAAAGCAAGCGAGAACTCATTATCCCACATGCAGGCATAAACACGTACACAAATACAACATACACGTATATAAATCATCTCATCCACAATGGTAACAATAATTAGTAAATTAAGTATATTGAATTCAAAAAATAACAACTATCGCATATGTATATGAATGTCTGAATAATGAAATTACTGAGAATACATATAACAGGTATTAATGTTTATAAATTAACTCTATGTTTTGAACAATTAATGCGGCTTACAAATATTTCGTAAAACTAATAAATACCTTTAATAATATGAGGAAGAGCAAGAAATTTAGATACGGGAATGTTAAAGGAATGCAAAAAAAAATTCGGCTTGCTCCTTACGAGTATTCTAAACAATAATTTACAAATATACACACATAATTATTGACGGAATATGCCTAGAAATATAATATACGAGTAATATGCAAATATTTAAAGCAAAACTAGTCAAAATGTACTTTCCAATTGATGTGTGTGCTAGAAGACTCTCTTCGAATCTTGGAGTAGGAGGCTAAGACCATATGACTGTGAGGGATAACCCATATTTGATGTATGTCAGCTATGTGTCGAGAGAAAGTTTAATAATATAGCTCAAATTAATAGGAAACTTAACTAAACTAAACTACATCTCATACTTAGCCATTTCAAAGAGAAACTGATGGATTCTTTTATGATTTCCTCACTGTTTATGTATCTGTGTATAATTTCTTAACCGACCTATGCGCTAACTTAAAAGGAAAAAACACTATAACTAACTGTGCTATTAAATGTAAGCTTAAAAGTATATAGTATGTATGTATAGTAAAGGACCCACATAGGGCAATAAAAAAGCGAATATATTTCAAAAATATTTCTCAACTATGAGCCGTTTACGTTTAGCAAAGAAAAAACTGAACAAATACATAGCTCTCTCAACTATTCTGTGTACAACTCTAAAAATGAATTTAACATGTTAATTTATTTTCAATTTATTTACCATCTGAAATCGCTCTCTCATATACGAATATATATGCATATAATATATTAAAAACTCAATAAATTATACGCAATAATCATACTTCAAAAATTGAACTAAGATATATACGGTAATATGAGTAACAAAGCCGAAACAGATATTTACTAATAAAACTTTATGTAGTACATACAAATACTAGATGTGTCCTTCATTTACCATTCATTGACCAAATGCCTTTTTGGGAAAAATTAAATTTCACTTCGAAGTAAAAGTAAGTAATTAATTAAGTATATGTGACCGATAAATAAAGGTCAGCTAGACTTTATTAGCATTCACAGGTAATTCAAATCAAGCCAAGGAGATTGAGAAACAGCTATTCTCGATGAAATATCAATCAATTCAAACTCTTGTATATTTAATTATTTATTTCAAATTTTATGTTACAGCCTGTCCCGATTCACAGCCGTGTGTGGTCAGAGGTTCCGGAGATAACTCAAAAAAGTATGCCCATTTCATACTCTTGGCAGACGAAATTTCGTCCCCCGACAATCATTTTTCTTGGAAAACCACAACACCAAGGACAATCCTGCGATTACCCAACGGCAGAATCATTCTTCTGAGCAGAAGTCGGCTTGATTAGAATGGCAAACGAAAGTTCAAGTTACGAGGAGCAAATTCGAAGGAATTGCTTATATTCTAAAAATAGTAAAATTAATTATAATAATAATAAAATTCATATGCATTTATTAATATGCATGTATTCATGATAATGGATGTCCTTTTTGATGTTCCGACAGCTATACAAAAGAGCAAAATGAGAATGAAAAACGATGGTAAAAACCACGAGGAGCAGAACGAAGAAATTAAATACATTTTAAAATTAATAAAATTAGTTATAATATATAATAATATATTTATAATAATAATAATGATGGAAGTCCTTTTTGAAGTTCCGACAGCTCGCCAAATGAGCAAAGTGAGAATGGCAAACGAAAGCTTGAGCCCCGAGGAGCAAAACAAAGAAATTTATTATAAGTATTAAAATAATAATAAAATTTATAATTATAATTAATATAATAATACAGATGGATTTCCTTTTTGTGTCCTTTTTCGTGCATATTTTATTTCCTATCTTTAATTTGTTGTAGCTAATGTATGTATGTATTTACATTAATAACAATAATATTAATTCATTAAATTTGTAAATAAATGAAAATAAAAATCACTTAAAATCAATTTTAAATGGATTTTTTATTAGTATGGCTGGTGAGGGGGGTGAAGAGGGTGGTTTTAGGAAGGACTCATATAGCGGACTCATAGATAAACAAAATTAATTTTGCCCGATGGCCAAAGTGGCTGCGTTTGCTAAAAACCAAAATCTGAAGTACCAGGCGAACAGAAACCAGCAGCAAGATTAATTTTTTAAAAAAAATTGAAAATTAATTCGGCCGCCTAAAAGATGCTACACTTTTCATAATGTTAGCCGGTCTTCACACCTTTTAGCAGCTGGGGCTCAAACCAATTTGGCAAATTGGTTTGAAGTCCAGCTGCAAAATGGTTTAAAGCCTGGCTAAATTTATTTTTAAATTTTTAACAAAATCATCTTCCTGCTTCATTATGTTCGCCTAGTACGTAGCAAAGATGACAGTTTGCAAACTAAGTACCAGGGCAGCTGCGGCTTTCCTAAAATTTATAAACTCGCCTGCAAATGCTAAAATCCAAAATCTGAAGTACCAGGCGAACAGACACCAGCAGCAAGAAGATTTTAAAAAAAAATTACAATTTAATTCAGCCGCCTAAAAGATGCTAATTTTCTTAATGTTAGCCGATCTTCACACCTTTTAGCAGCTGGGGCTCAAACCAATTTGCCTAATTGGTTTGAAGTCCGGCTGCAAAATGGTTTAAAGCCTGGCTAAATTTATTTTTAAATTTTTATCAAAATCATCTTCCTGCTGCATTATGTTCGCCTAGTACGTAGCAAAGATGCCAGTTTGCAAAGTAAGTACCAGGGCAGCTGCGGCTTTCCTAAAATTTATAAAATCGCCTGCAAATGCTAAAATCCAAAATCTGAAGTACTAGTCGAACATAAACCAGCAGCAAGATGATTTTAAAAAATTAAAAATAAATGTAAGCCGGGTTTCAAACCAATTTGGCAGCCGGGCTTCAAACCATTTCGGCAAATTGAACTTTAAAGCCAGGTTTCAA